AAACAGACACTAACGCCAACCTTACAGATTTCATTTAAAATGAAAAATACCTTGTATGTGGGGTACATGAAACACTGTACTAACTGCAATTTCTCTGTAAATCTAAAACTGTTCTAAAGTAAAATGTTTATTAAAAATATCGAGTGTGAATAAAATCTTTTCTATAGATAAGGTCATATCTAAACAGAATGAAGTACAAAAATTCATCTCCTTTTCAGATGTGTCCATTTTTCCTTACCTTTCTCTTTGAAAATTTTCTAGCCCAATTATGAGATACATGGTTGTTTCCCTGAATTTCCTATAATCCTGATGCCACTCCTGTAGGTAAAAGAAATATTAAAAGTATACATAGGAAGATATTAAAACTACAGTGAAAACTGTTCACAAAGTAATACATTGTTCTGATAACTTTGAATTAATATTGGGTTGTTGGTAAAGTCATGATGTTTTTTTTCTATGTTTTTCATTGCAAAAATGCGTCTTGACTTTTCCGACAACCCAACAGAAGCAAAAAGTTCAAAATTAAGACAAATTAGATCTAAATCAAGACTTTAATTTCTCACAAACAAGACTTTATTAGTAAAATGATAAATGTAAAAATTATTAGACGTTGATGAGGAATTAAACAAAAATCTCTTTAGAAGATAACAGAAATACAAAGGCAGGATAATCAATCAGGTTCTCTCTTTCTCTCAAAAATCCCTTAGTATAAAAGCATATTATTAAAATGTTACATAGTAACATCACACTGAATGTAGGAGGTAAATGAAGTTACTACTTTAATATAAACCAAAGCTTGAAGACTGTTATTTGATGCCAAATTAAGAAAAAATGTTATATCATAACACATTTATTTAACCTTTTAATTTTGCCAAATTGTGTTACATTTGTGGTAGCTGAATAGTCTATTCATCTGAGATAGAATGAAAAGGACAGGTGCATTTCACATTTTACTGTCCTATCTCCACAAATAAAAACAATATAGTGCATGTGTTAGGACTCAACAATTGAGAACTGATATCCTATAATGTTAGAAAACAAACAAACAAAATCATGATTTTTTTCTTGACTTATTTAATAAAAATTGATTCAAAGAAAATCATAATTAAAATACAATATAGTATTAACCTAAAAGACATACTGATAATAAAAGCTTTTCATTTTTAATTAAAATTTTTGAGGCATAATTTTCTTATTAGTAGCAAGTATAAAGTTAGCTTTCCTGGGAAAGTATTCAAATTGTCACTCTGTACTGTCATCAAAACTGCCTTAGTTGTGAGTAGGTAAACTTTTTCTATAGAGGGCTAGACAATAAATATTTTAGGATTTTCAGGCCACACAGTCTCTGTTGTGACTACTCGACTATGTGACTGTAGTGTGAAAGCACACATAAACAAATGGCTGTGTTCCAATAAAACTTTATTTCTAAAACTAGGTGGTGAGTTGGATTTGGTCTGCAGGTCCAGGTTTGCTGATCCCCAACTTAGAGCAGGACAAAGATAAGTGGGATATACAAAATCCAAAAACATGTCATGCGAATACCTGTAAGATTTAATGGCTCTGCAGTTAAAAAGAATATGAGAAGTTTTCAGAATATGCTGAATCCAATATGATGAAGCAACTTTGGGGAGGGACTGTAGAATCAAATCACAATTAAAAATTAAGTCGCGG